TTAATTAGTTTCATACATATGTCAGTTCTAAGTCAGTTTTTTAACCATTTGAAGTGTTCATTAACCATTTTATAGAAATAATAAAATTAAGGTTATAAATATCCGAGAGATAAAGCTTATACATAAACATTTGTAGTGGAATCATGTTGTTTTTACATAGTTTCTAGATCTTTATTTACTACGAGTACGCACTACAATTTTAGTTACTCCCTCCTTCCCATATTTATCTTCATAGTTCGGTTTACGATGCTTGACTGACGATAAAGCAACATGATCCCTGTTCACGCTTAGATTATTTTTAATAAATTAAATTTACATATTCAGAAACTACATTAAATCTGCTATAAAGTCTGATCTAGAAAATTTAAGTTTGATAAAAATTTGAAATATAAAATAAAAGATTAAGAGTAATTTGAGTTGACTATGTAAATAGTAACTACTCCCTCCTTATCAAATTAACTGACCCGCTTTCCTTTAGAGGACGTATCAAATTAAAAGTCCCATTTCTATTTTTAGACATGGACCCCACCACCTTTTAACTTCCCATTATTACATTTTTACATTTTACATTTTTTTCTCCACTTATCCCATTATTCCTCCCCATTAAATCCCCATCCCACCCAACCATAAATCCCTATCCGCCCCACCTTCCCCATTAAATCAGCCATTATCACCCCCCATTTCTTGAAGTATCCATCTCTCCCTCTCTCTCTTGTTCAAGCCTTCTTTCTGTTTCTCCGGTTTCTCTGGTTTCTCTCTATCTCTCCGTCGGTCTGGGTTATTGCTCTTCGGTTGTCCATTTGGTTTATCTCGACCGCCCAACCCCTCCTCAGAGCCCTCCTCTCCATTCCTAATCTGTTGTCTGCCACCTTATTTCTGAGCTACCAATCCATTGCTCCTTGGCATGGATCCGTATGAGCCTGATTCTGAACTGATACTGCTTGATCAAAGGCTTAATGAAGGATGTCCATCACCTCCTTCAGAGAAATCGAAGGAAGGCCCTGTTCTGAGTAATGTGCCCATTCGCCTAGCGGATCTGGTGCCCGTCTCTAATTTGGATTCCCGAAGCACCGATTGTCTAGGCTGGACAACCTCTTCAGAAACTGACCCAGACTGACCTCTCCGGAGATTATTCGGGTCCGATTTGGTGGATTCAAGCTCTTCTGGGTTTGGCGACACAGATTCTGGTGAAGAGGAGGTGAACTCGAAGGAAAGGGTTTGTACATGGGATGAAATTCGTCTGGATATTCCGTAAGGGATGTACTCCTAATCTCTACTTTAATTTGTGCTTTGGTTGTGTGTATTCTCTATTCTGTAGTCCTACTTGTGTTTTGCATTATCTAAACCTGGTTATTGTTGATTTACTCCATTGTTATTAATGACATCATTCTGAAATTCTGAAATTACTTCATTCATTGTGACCAAATTGTGGGCTTATACACTGTTACATCAAAAAATAAAGATCTACTCCTCTATGCAAAAATATGGAGTATTTATACATGGCCTTGCAAAAAATTGTTTTATACCATACTTCAACAACAAAAATCAAAACTGTCAGTGTTTACCTCTTTTATACAGTGGTCTCTTTCTTTATGCATCAACAGTTGCTCCTTCCTCCACTCCTTCTTGGTCCATTGTCCTTTGTTGCAAGTAGTTCATACATTCCCACACTAGTAGTGGGGGAGGAGCCACTGAAACTTGCAGCATGTTAAGCCTTTGTAGTTTCTTCTTGCCTATGCGTACTTGTGAATATGCATTGCCCCCCTTGACCTTCATTTCTTCAATCATGCATAACTGTAAGCTTAGAAATACATGATTCAAGGAATGAGGATTGTATGCAATGAATGAATCATTGCAGTTCTGGACAAGTTCAGAATTTTTTTTTGTTGAGCATGTATCCTTTAAAGACTGAATAACCCGGAATAGGCCCAAATCAAGGATATTCATATTCGTGCTATTTGATGGTTGATTCATTAGTTGAACATCCCTCCCCATCTTGTGAACTGCCAATATGAATTCATTATCATCTCCCTTGATATGTGGAGTTGCATTGTCTTGTTGGATACATATTATCTTGTCATCATTTGGTGGCCACTTTTCATGAAGTGCAGGTAATAGTTTGTTGATGATCATGTTTCTATATGCTACTTTGTTCACAACTGGTATCGATTTTAGTTCTGATGTGCCCTTAGGTCTGTTTTTGCTATTCCTTTGTGCCTGCACCATTTCAACAAAAGGCCACATCCCTATCTTCCCATCAAAAGTGCATTCACCTTCTCCATTGAACCTAGGCCTCGCAACTGCACATAAGAACATAACTTTCTCAATGAACCTTTTGCTTTTGGCTGTTCTGTGTGGTTCCATTTCACCGGGTACCAGATATTACTTCTGGCTACCTTTGGTTAGATAGAACCATTTCTCATCTATGTGGATAATGTTGAATATTTCATCAAAAACTAAACTTTCTGGCATTGCCTGTACTTTGAGGTGTGATAAGCACCATTGCAGCCTACTGATTTTGTTTTCAGGGGTTAAGAATGGCTTGATTGCACTTGAGTGTGGATTTATTTCTCCCCTCTTGAGTAATCTTTGTACAGTTGATGCAGGAACACCCATAGCTGTTGCACAGCTCCTCCAGTCCTGCATCTTTCTAACACAGTCCATAACCTGAACACTGTTTTGCGAGAGAGACCAAAAGCATTCGCAGCATCTGTGAATCCACCTCGCTTGACCTTTCCTTTGACTGTCCTTTGATTCAGGAAGTCCAATATAGATTCACGCTCTGCTGGTTTCAGGTTTGGCATCAGTGATTGGATTTTTGCCCTGGAACTGTGGTCAGTGGTCTTGGATGGCTTGGAGATAGCAACCACAACAATTTCTATTGTTGTAGGAAGGCCTCCAAATAGCAACCAGACCTAAACGCCCTCTATGATGACAAAGTTTACCTGTTTAATGACCGTCAAATGCCCCCCTCGATGATGACAACATGTCTGAGAGGTTTTTCCTAAGTCTGAGAGGCACATGTCATCTACGAACCCACCATTGTTCTTGGCTCCAAACTCGTCACTCTCTCTTCTATTTATAGAAGTGCGAATATTTTGGAACTAATCTGGCTCCAAATCTAAAAAGTTGGCGCCATTATGCTGGCATTTTTCCCATTTACGAATTGCTACAGTGTTTTTTTGGGTGTGCGAACTGCCAACAGGGCCGAATGTATGGCCTTTATGCTTTGCTACAATGCTTAATGTATATGGGGTCCGGTTGTTTATACTCCTTTTGTAAAGTATTCCTCAACTTTTAATCATCTACAGTGTTTCTTACTTTCTTCTTACTTTATCTACAGTACACCTACAATTTTTCTTAAACTACTACAAAAGCCTAGTGGGTCAATTAATTTGATACGGAGGGAGTATGAAGATAATTTTGGGACGAAGGAAGTATATTTTGCTCTATAAAGACCAAGTTTAAGCTCCGGTCCAAAATTAGATTCATCTCTTATAGTACATGAAACAAATTTTATAATACTACCAACTTTCAAAAAATATACTACCTCCGTCCCGGTAGACTTTACCAAGTGCAAAGTAAGTGCGAAATAAGATTAGTAAAAACTGTGTGGTTGAGATTTGTAAATAGACGAAAGAAATATGCAGAACCACAAATTAGTTGTTTTAATATGAAACTGATAAAGTTTTTTGGAACAACAAAAAAAGAAAGTTGATAAAGTCCGATGTAACGGAGGGGTATAATACTGCCACTGTCATATAAAACAAATTTCAATTAAGGCTGATATTTATGTTTTCAGCACAACTCTATTGAAATATGGAGTACTACTTATGTGATTTTGTATGTTGAACTATTGCCATATTCTTATACAAAAAGCAACAAATTTAACTGTGTTTGTCATGAATATGCACAATTTTCTTCTATTTACTCGTAATTTTCAAGATAAAATGGGTCAGGCGGTCATTTTGAAATGGATTCGGCAATGATTGGTGATCCTCGTGAAAGCCATTTCGTCATGATATTTTTTACAAATTTGTGACAAATTCAAGCCGAAATTGTTTCATTTATACGGTAGTATTCTTATTTGATTTTAGCTACAATTCAATATTACTTTAGTTTAATTTGTAATATAGTAATTGTTATTACTTACTCCCTACGGTCCCTATTAAAGTTCCCAGTTTGATTTCACACAGATTAAGAAAATAAATTTGACTTTACTGTGGAGTGCACCGTTTGACACTGTTTGAACACTGTTTGACACTATTTGGCATTGTTTTGTTTTCTACAATGAAAATGTGAACTTAAATAAGGAACATCCCAAAAAGGAAAGTGGGAAATTTAATACGGACCGGAGGGAGTATAATATTTTGTTTGTCAGAACTTAGAAGAAAACTATGTGAAGTAGGAAACTATGTGTAGTAAGAATTATTACTCTCTGTTTGAAGTGCAACATGTTCAATACTAATTATATTTATTTGTTATTTTTCTAATGTACTAAAGGATCGTTTTATAAAGTATTGTAGAGTATTTTTTGTAATAGATATTTAAATATATTAATGGTCAAATTTATACTATGTGTATTTAAGGGATTTTATCAATTAGGGACCTGAAAGATGAAATGTATCGATTATGACCCGTATGATGGAAAGCTATCAATTTAGGACATAACATTTCATATGTTTTGATTTATTTAATTTTGTATGAATTCCATTGCTAATTTTTGATAAACCTTTATTCACAAAAGTTTATTAGTTTAATAAAACTAAATAATATATAAGAAATTTAAAATAAAAAATCATAAAATGCATGACAACTTAGAATTTAGATAGACAACTCAAATATTCAAGTTCTAAATTGATAGTTTTCCATAATTCGGATTTCATATCGATACATTTTATCTTTTAGAATTTATAATTTGTTTATGTTTTAGATAATGAAATGAAAAAATTTCAATATTTAATAAGAAGTGTGAACAAAATATAGAAGAATTGGGCACTTAAAAAGAGAATGAATGAATAGATAGAATTACGTATTTTTATATATGCATCTATAAATAAGAGTATCTGGCCCGACAGTCCCTCTTCCACTTTGTTCAACTTTGTGAAGGCCTATACAGAGTGAGAGTGTGTGTGAGTTCTGGTGGTAGAAGAGATTTATGTCGGGAAGGTCTAGACTGGGTTCTTCTCTTCTGAATGGGGCTCCTCTGCTGAACCTCAACCTCTCTATCCTCCTCTCCTCCTCATCTCTACCGCAGAGAAGAGCCGCCGTTGACTCCGCTACTTCGATGCGTTTGACCCCCCAAAAGTAACAACCCTTAAACCCTAATTTATTCTTCGATTTCAATCCCTCTAAGGCCTGATCTGTAATAGTTTTGTGTTATTTCCCCTTCTTCTTCCTCCTCGCTTTGCAGGACTCGTTCTGGAGTGGACTGTTTCGGTGGATTTAATATAAACAGACTGTTACATACTTTCTTGATCTTGAAACGACATCTCATATAGTGTCCCTTTGTTAGTAAAGAGACAACCTTACCTTAAACCTTCTTGTTTAGATTCTTGATTTTCCCGAGTTAAAACCCACGTTTTTACCTCTTTCGTCTCCGATTAGTAAAAAAATGGCGGATGGGGAAGAGCGATTCGGGAAGAAACTGAAACCCGGGAAGAAAGGGATGCGGAGAATCCGGATCGTGTGTAACGACCCAGATGCAACGGATTCCTCCGAGGATGAAGGGGTCTTTGTTGATGTGAAGAAAAACCCAAAAAAGCTTTTCGTCAGGGAGATTCATCTCCCCATCTCCGTCACTTTCGGTGGTCCTGCGAGTAACAACAAAACCTCCCCTGAAACGGAGGTCAGTTCTTGTCAAGATAGCAACAGGAAAAAGAGGCCGTCTTTATTGTTTGTTAATAACAATACTCATTTCAAAAACAAAATCTCTTCTTCATCGGTGAAACCCAGAGGAGTTAGGCAGCGGAAATGGGGGAAATGGGCGGCGGAAATCCGGGACCCCTTCAAGGGGAGGAGGGTATGGCTGGGCACTTATAACAGTGCTGAGGAGGCTTCTGCAGCTTATGAAAAGAAACGGCTTGAGTTTCAAGAAGCTATGGCTATGGGGAGCAAGAATGGGAGCAATCTCGTTATATCCTCCGACGAGGCCGAAGAAGAGGTGGAGGACGAGGACTCTGCTGCTACGCCTTCCTCTGTTCTTGAAATGGACTCTCTGATCTCTGAGTCCAAAAATGCCCCCCCTGAGATGAATGAAGATCTGCCTGAAAGTCTTTCTTTGGTGGAAGATATTGCTTTTGGTATGGAATTGGAATCCCTTCTTGCTGCCGGAGATGATTTCCCGGAGTGTCTTGTGGATGATTTTGTTGGTTTTCCGGCGGACTTTGAGGACATTCCTATGTATGGTGGTTTTGAAATGGAGGATCAGTTGCCTGTTACTTTGCCGGACTTTGACTTTGACTTTGATTTTGATGCTTGCAATGAAGCATGGATGGTTGAATCTCAACCACCTCCGGCCATGACGCCACCGCCTTCGCTCAATATAGCTTGCCTATAATCTTTTTGCAGTAATAGTTTTGTTGCATTACTCTTAGTTCTAAATGTCAAGTACTTAGCAGCTATAGTATAGAGAGTTTACACTTTGTTGCTAATCAAGAACGGATAAGAAGTATGGTTCTTGAGTTAAATAATGCCTTTTTGTTTATTTGTTTGTTTGTTTGGTCAGAAACAGAGTTTTGGGTGATAGAGTTCCTTGGGTTTTCTCGTGCTATTTGAGCCGTCCAAGGTTCTTAAGTCTGTTTCATGCCAGTCCGATTTTGGGCTTTGAAAGCTATATATATATATATGAATGAGAGATGTGCTAATTATGGAATTGTTTATTTTGCCAACGATGTTCATTCACTTCATTGACCATTGTAGTCTATTTATTTTGACATTTTCTACAGTTTCTATTTGCGTTCTAATTGGAAAAGAGCAATGTTTACCACATCTCATCAGTAAGAAGTTCCTGTTTCAATTGGAAAAGTTTTCCACTGATCATAGTCTATTCACTAAAAATATGTTGAACTAGTAACTTGTTTGATATTCAAAACCAGATGTTAAGAAAGGTAGTGTTATTTTGACTACAAAGTTTGTTACTTTGTGAGTGAAAACTTAATGATGAAAGGGAAGAACTAAATGTACTATGTTATGATTATACTCATTTGGGCGTTAGGAGAGAGAGGCCCATCATGGATGATGTTGGATGAGCGGATGAGGCCTAGAACTTGGGCCTTTGAACCTCTCTCTAAAGGAATGCATTTTTAATGGACATATTCTTGGAGATACAATATCTAATCATATAAGTAGCTGTCATTGTAGCTTTGTAGATTTTAAGACTATTGCATGTTTAAGTTTGTGATGGATTTGTGGGTTTTGCTGTGTACTTCATTGTTTGTTACATACGGAGTATTTACTTGAGCGATCAACACGATTCACACATTATTAACCAAAAACTTCCTTTAAAGTATGTTTTGGAGTTTTGTTTTGGAAGATAGGGAAAGGATTAGGAGGGTTTATGATCTCTCCTTTTTTGTTTGGGAGTTGAAAATTGAAAGGATTTTTTTGGAGAATTCTTGTGACCTTTAAAAACTCATTAAAATACTCATATTTTAAGTTTCTAAATTGATGGATTTTGAAAGATAACTAATTAAATGATGTCTTTAGCTTAGGTTAAAATGAATAAAAGTTTGATTATTTAAATTCGCTATATCTTTGAAGTGATTTTTATTATAATTCCTTCTTATCACCTCTATTGAAATTTATAACTCTTAAAGAAGAGAAGAATTTCCTCCCCTTCCATCGCATTCCCCTCCTAGGGCTAACCTTTAAAGTCTCATCTCTCCTTTTCAAACTCCCATACATACTCTTAGATTTTAGTGGAGATGTAATGTGTGGTACATCTCAAACAACACTAGAATCTACTAGTGAGTTAGATATATTACACTCATTAATTTGGTTGATTAGTTTTTCTTTTACTAATTTATTAATGACATCTATTCGTATTCTTTAAGAATGTTGTCACCAATCCCTTTTTAGATTTGTGAGAAAAAATGTTGACATATAATTCACATAGAAAAGCATTATCACCAATTGCAGCAGTTGCATCAAGTTTTTTCTTAAAAATTGTCATAGTTTGTGTCACAGATCCTAATGAACAGTCACACACACTCACTAATAATAATAAGTCACGAAACATAATTTCGTTAGAATAAAACAAGTAAAACTATACTCATGGCCGGTCCTGATGAAATGAAGGCCCTGTGCAACAAAAATAATTGGGCCTTCTTGTCAAAGTTTCAACACAAGTTAAAAAAACCGCACCAAAACCGCACCGACTCAAACGGGACCCGAAAGTCGGGACTTGAACATAAATCGGTTTAATGAAGGTTTTTTGAGTTATAAAATCGGTTCAAACCGAACCGAACCGATTTTTATTAAGAGATATTTTTAATTATTTATTTTGTAGAACAAAAAGGTAATATAAAGCTTGTACGTCCTTATTTCAACAATTAGTTGATTCGGTCCAATTGGTTGATGTTTAGAGATCAGCGTGCATGATTTTATTTTCACCTGGGTTCGAATCCCGCATGCCTCGCTTCTTATCTTTTTAATTTCTAAAGCTTAAGATTTCCACACCGGTGAAAACGGAGGATTTAGTACTCCTTCGTTCTTATATATACGCTCCACCTCTAAGTAATACTACTCCCTCCGTCCCAAATTGTTTTGCAAAGTCAACATTTTTTGGTCAATCAATACAAAAATTCAATGCTCCCTATCGATAATTAGCTCCATTTTTAATAATTAAAATTTATATATTCAGAAACTATATTAATATCTCTTCAAAGTTGTAAATTCCAAATTAGAATATTATTAAAAATTGACATCCTAATTAAGCAAATAAAATGAAATTATTTGACCAAGAAAAGTCAAATTTGCAAATCAATTTGGGACGAAGGTAGTAGTAGTATATTAGTACAAAAAAAAATGGGCCCTTCCAATTTTTTGGGCCCTGTGCGGTTGGACGCCCTACACACACTCAGGACCGGCTCTGACTATACTACAAAAAGAAAAGCTTACAGAATGATATTTTTCCACATAGACACCTACATATTGACATATTGTCATTTTTGTTGATGGATAATGCATACATAAAAGTATATAGAGTAAAATAGATCTAGAGGAAGAATGTATTACTGGATGAAGTAGGGGGCTAGGGCTACCACTGTGGCTAATGGTCTGGATACTGTGATGAATGCTGAACTGGAAATGGGACTAGATGCACGACGAGAATGACTTGGGAGATAGACATGGTTAGATAGATATATCGCACTTAATAAATAAAAAGAAGCAAGTGCAAAAGTTATTTGGGCCTTAATTTAGTACCCCGTCCCATTTTACTTATCTTACTTTCATTTTTGGGTTGTCCCAAAATGAGTGTCATCTTTCGTTTTTTGGAAAGAAATATGTGGTTCACACCATTTCACTTTTCTATACTCAAATCTCAACCACAACTTTTACCTTTTCAACTACTTTATTAAAAGTTATGCCAAAGTCAAATGAGACACATAAAATGGAACGGAGGTAGTACTCCTTTTGAGTCCTTTCTCAACTTCCATTCTCTCGTCTCCCAGCCCTAAATCTTGTCTTAATTTGTATGAGGAGATACTTAAGAAGGGTCATATATTTGTACGGTTCCACATTCTTTCTTGGAAGTTGTCACGAAAAGCATATTGTCACATATGACAAAATACCTTCTTAAAAGTTGTTAGGAGATAGGTAGTAACCCCCCTAACCATGACAATGGAACTTGGATGTAATTTCCTCTTGCCTCTCATCTACACCTATAAATAGAGAGTTTCTTGTTGTTCATTAGCATTAGGAAAAAGCTTAGTAAACACGAGTTACTACAAAAACACGGGATTGACATCGAATTTTGGCTGAGATTCCCTAAAATTCATGAAAAATTTGGTAGAGATATTTAGCACAAATTTTGCATATCCCTGTCAAAATTCTCTGTCAATCCGGTGTTTTTTTTTGTAGCGAGGTTTTAGACATCATATTTTGGATTGTAAAGGGAGACTAGCATGGCTGCGGGGGAAGGAGGATAGGGCAAGTGTGGCAGAATTTTTGAGGGTACAAATTGTGCTACAATTTCTTACGGAGAAGAAGAATCTTTTTTTGGAAACAGAGAGCTAAGGAATTTTGGCTCAAAGAAGAAGATATCAACTCTCGGTTTTTCCACAATGCCGTTAAATAGAGAAGAAGGAAAAACAAAATGCCAGGCATTAAACGGGCTGATGGGACGTGGATTACGGATAGAAGTGAGCTGGGATCTAGTGTTATGAATTATTTTTTATCTCTATTTCAGGCTACGCACCAGAAGTGGATCATATGTCAAACATTAGAGGATAGTTTGCTCGGGTAACAGATGAACAAAACATCATGCTAACAAAGCCAATATCTCTGGAGGAAGTTAAAGCAGCGGTGTTTGATATGCACCCGAAAAAGGCGATGGGGTCAGATGGTATGAATCCAACTTTTTTTAGACCTACTGGGATGTAGTGGGTCTAGAGATTTCGAGCTTGTGTGCCAATATGTTTGAGACAGGTACACTAGTAGCAAAAATTAATATTACTAATATTGTCCTGATTCCTAAAAAAGACAAACCGGACTGCTTGGGAGGGCACAAAATTATGAACGGGTTCATGTGGAAGGGCACAAAATTTGAGCAAAAACGAATTAGGCGGAGGCGATGGGAGCTGATGTGCAAGCCGAAGGGATCAGGTGGTTTGGGCTTCAGGAAATTAAAGGAATTTAATCTGGCAATGTTGACTAAACAAGGTTGGAGGTTGCTTTCAAATCCGGATAGCCTGATGGGACGCATCTTAAAAGCAAGATATTTTCCTAATTCTGAGTTCTTGAGGGCTAAATTGGGTAGTAATCCATCCTATATTTGGCGGAGTATTTTTGAAACCCAAGGAGTACTAAAAATAATGTTAGACGGAGGGTCGGTAATGGAAGGGAAGTGCATGTATGGGCTGATGCGTGGTTACCTGGCCTTGGGGATGGTAGAATTAAATCGGCGAAACCAGCCAGAATAGCTGATATGGATGTCGCGGCTTTGAGAGATATTACTGGAAAAAGATGGAACAGGGAAAGAATTGCGGCTATTTTTGAGGTAGAGGAGTGAAAAATTATTACTAGCATTCCTATTAGCTTGTAAGACAAACAAGATGGATATTGGTGGAGTAAGGAAACTAATGGGGCCTTCACGGTTAAAAGCTGCTATCGTACGTTAATGCAGGGAGTGGAAGCAGGAGGATGGAGCGGCTGTAAAGAATTATGGGACCTTAAAATTCCACCAAAGGTAAAATATTTTCTTTGGCAGGTTTTAGATAGGTCACTCCCATTGTTGGTGAACTTGGGCCCTACGGGTGTGCCGGTTCAAAGTGTGTGCAAATTGTGTGTGCAAGGCGAGGAGACAACGAATCTTGTCCCTACGGTTGTGACCGAAAGCTGCCGAGGTCTGGACGGGAGTGAGGGTGACGGTTAATAGCGGGGAAGACTCTCTAGAAAGCTGGATCCAAAAACTTCTCTTAAAATACCCCGACGTAGGATTGAGTACGTGGTCCGTCGGCTTGGGCACCCTAACCCTACCGTAAAGCCCCACGTACATCTGCGCGACATGGTACTCAGCCGCATTACTCTGCGGCTTGATGGGGTAAAGATGGTAGAGATCCAAGTAAGACACACCTGGACCCTTCTTTGGCCGACGCCTCTTCGTCTGAGCACCCGCCACGAAAGCCGACCCCTTGACGGCAGAAACTGGTTTAGGGCACGTGATGGCGACCGACGTAGAAGCACC